TCCATCATGAAACCAATGTTAGAAACACAATGGAAAAAGACCTTTCTCCAGTTCTAAAATAGAAGAGAAGAATAAAGCCATTTTCAGGCCTACAAGTACTTATGCATTTTTTCTTCCAGCTACCTTTCCTGAGGAATTTACTCGAGTCTGTCCTTTTGCTAAATAAGGGTGAAAATTAATAGAGAGTAGTAGCCAGAATAATGGTCCTCCAAAGATGTTCCTGTCCTAGTTTCTGAAATCTGTGAAACTGTCACCTTCTGTGGAAAGAGAGACTTTGTCTGTATGATTGATTAAGGATCTTGAGATGGGGACATTCTTCTGGATCGTTACAAGGGTCTTAATAAAGGGGAGGCATAAAGGTCAGAGCAAAAGTCCAGCATGATGACAGAATCGGAAAGCTTGGAAGTTGCTACCGTGCTGTTTTGTCGTCCTGTGCCTGCCTTATTTCACTTACCATAATGTCCTCCAGGTTTGTTCATGTTGTCACAAAAGACAATTTCTTTTTTATGGATGAGCAGTATTCCATATACTACATTTTCCTTATTTATTCACTCATGATAGATTGTTAGTATTTCTTTTCTTTGCAGTGTAGGGAATCATACCCAGGACCTCATGCACGCTGGGCAAATGCTCTCTCTCTGAGCTAAATCACAACTAGCCCGACTATTAGCATTTCTGAAAGTCCTCTGACCATGATTTCTCTTAGGTCTTTATCTCTTTATTAAAAGACAAAATAACAAAGTTAGACTAAATAGGACATATTTAAGGTATTAGAAACAAGAAATTGTATGGAATTGTTTGGTATCTGAAAATGTTTTTACTTTGCATTTATTTTTAAATTTTTATTTATTTACTTTAAGAGCAAGGTAATAGGACTTATTAGAGGAATAGAAAGCAGAGCTTCCGAAGGGGCAGTTATCCCAAGAAAAGGGTACCTTGATTTTATGTATTTATTTTTTTTTAATATTTATTTTTAGTTGTAGTTGGACACAATACTTTTATTTCACTTATTTATTTTTATATGGTGCTGAGGATGAATCCCAGGGTCTTGCACGTGTGAGGCAAGTGCTCTACCACTGAGCCACAACCCAGACCCCTTGCTTTTATTTTTAAAGCCTGTTTCAACAGATGTAGAATTATGAGTTAGCAGATGTTTCTTGTTTCTAATACCTTAAATATGTCCTATTTAGTTTAACTTTGTTGTTTTTGTCAAGAACTCACGTTCCGTTTGTAATTTTCTTTCCCTGTGTATAATATGCTAATTTTTTTCTGTTTTCAAGACTGACTTCCTTTGCTGTCTTTGTTTTTTTTTTTTTAATTTTTGGATTTAAACATTTTGTATATGAGGGACCTATTTGTAATTTTCTTGTATTACCTTGCATGGGGTTTGCATAGCTCATTGCATCTCTAAGTTAAAGTCATTCATATATTTTGGGATGTTTTATTTCCTTGAATGTTTTCCTGCCCCATTCTATCTTTCTCCTTCTGCCTCACCATCTCTCTCTTCTTCAACTTCACTCCTTCTGCTATCTTCCTGTTGTTCCTAAGCCTATCCATTCAATTATTAATTATAGTTATTAATAACTTTTAAGTGGAGACCATCACTTACTTTTAATATTTTCTGTTTTTGTGTACACATCCTATCTTAAGTCTTTGCATACATTATAATATCTGCTTTTAAATGTTTGGTAATTGCAATATCTGGGAAGTCTTTGGGGCTTGGGGGTCTGTTTTTTTTCTTTTTTTCTTTTTAGTTGTAGGTGGACACAACATATTTATGTATTTATTTTATGTGGTGCTGAGGATCGAACCCAGTGCCTCACAAATGTAAGCACTGTACCACTAAGGAACAGCTCCAGCCCTGCAGTCTGTTTTTATTGACTGCTGTTTTTCTCCTAGCCATGGGATCACATTTTTTGAGGGGGGGGCAGGGCACTAGGGATTGAACCCAGGGTGCTTAACCACTGAGCACATCGCCAGCCATTTTTAATATTTATTTAGATACAGGGTCTGACTGAGTTGCTAAATGCCTCACTAATCTGCTCAGACTGGCTTTGAACTTTTGATCCTCCTGCCTCAGCTTCCCAAATTGCTGGGATTACAGGCGTACCATACCCAGATCACATTTTTCATACTAGTGTGTCCAGTGGTTTTTTTATTGGCTCCTTAGCATTTTGAATGATGTGTTTGGCAGAGATTTTGTTTCTCTGAAAAAAAAGTTTTTTTTAGAAGGAAGTTAAATTGGCTGAACTCAAGCTCTCAAACTCTGTCTCCTCTGTGGTTAGAGCAGCTAAAATTGTCACTTAACTATTTCATCTTTCAGCCCCTGGCTTTTTGTCTGGACTCCTGGTATTTCTCCTACCACTTACTGATTTAGTGATCAGCAAAAATCTAGGAAGACTTTGTATACAGATTTTTGGGGATCACTTCCTCATTGTCTTTCTCTTCTCCGGATAAAACTCTTTTTTTAAAAAATTTTTATTGTTGGTTGTTCAAAACATTACATAGTTCTTGATATATCATATTTCACAAGGATAAAACTCTTAAACTTAGGTAGTTCTGCCAGCCTTAAATTCTATTATCTGATATCTTAACTCAGTAGGACTTTGATTTCTGCCTAACCCACCCCTAGTGGCAAGTAGATTTAACAGTGGTCTTAGTTTAAAAACCACAAATATACAATTATCAGCTTCTGCAGATTTACCCTCCCAGCCACTCTCATGTCCTTGCCAGGGAAGTGCGTACTCTTAGGAAGTACCATAGCTTTCAGATAAAAAAGGAGGAGTCAAGTTTATTATTCTCAAACTTCCAATCAGACAAAGTACTTACTTGTTCTCACTCAAAAAGGAGATGAGAGAATGGAGAGGACAGGAATATATTGTTTGAACTACATCAACATGGATTTAAAAAAAAATTTTTTTTTTTTTTTAGTTGTTGATGGACCTTTATTTATTTATATGTGGTACTAAGAATCGAAATCAGTGCCTCACGCATGCTAGGCAAGCACTCCACCACTGAGCCACAACTCCAGCCCACTCCCTAGCATTTTGTCTTCCTAACTGATTGGGCTTAAGCCTACAGTCAGCTTAGTAGAAGAGATCAGCAGTTTGTCATACAATTGGGCTGATCCTCATGCCAAAAATTTATAAAATCTGGAGAGGAAACTGAAAGCAGAAAGAAACTGGATGAGAGAGGACAAAATGCAAGTTTCCCTCAAGACGCTATATCAGAACAGTATAATACTTATATCAACCCCAAGCCTCCTATGTACCCAAGATTGAATTCTTTCTCTTTTCTCAGATTATGTCCAGCCAAGTTATCTAGGATAACATATAAGGATCAGCAATTAAACGGTGACCAATCTATACTAACCAGGAACCTAGCAGGACAGCCAAAGGAGAATACCTGGAGGTGTGTGGAAAAGCTGCCACCTGTGGACTTACAGATCATTTTTGTGCTGTTTTATGCTTTTAACTGAAATCTAGTTTGTCTGATATTAATATGGCTAGTTTAATTTTCTTTGTTCTATTTGGTATATCTTAATCTACATCTATTTTTATTCCTTCTCTATCATTTAATTTTAGGTGGATCTCAAATAGCATATGATAGGATTTTTTAAATTTTAGACTATGTATTTAAAGGGAAATTTGCAGTTATCATTTTAAATAATATTGTTTGTATTTCCAGCCCCCTGATTTACACTGTTTATTATGTTTCTTTACTCCTGTTTTTTCTACTTTTGCTTTTTTGCTGAAGTTTTTCTTGCTCTTTTGTTTTGCCCCCTAGTAATTTAAAAATTAGACATCCTATTTTTATTTAAGTATTAAGTACTTAAAAATAAAAAGAAAATTAAACACTACTTCTTTACCCACACACGGAATACAATAGATCTGTTGATACTCCTGGAAGTGATGAGTGAGTCACAAATCTCCCTTTTGTTTCTATTCCCACAGTTTATTGGAATAAATAGGCTTTAGAGTCAAACTGTTATTAGTCCTTTTTTTACATTTTCTAAAGAAAAATTTTCACAATTGCATTTCCTTATATGTATAATCATGCTATGTTAAGAATAACTACTTAGGCATCTGATTTTTATGTTGATGGTTTGTGATATCCATTTCTGTTCCTTTTATAACATACCACCTCTCTATATCTAAGGCTTTTATTTTTGTTGGCTTACAGGACATTAGAGTATTTCTTGGAGTGATCTTTTAGGCAGGGCATATCTGAGAATATGTATTAAACTATAGTTATAACATAGTAGTTAAAAACTACAGAAAGTTTCACTGAGGAAATAATAGTAATAAATAAAGGCTTGTACACAAGTTTCTTCATTTTGCAGTATTATTAGAAAAGCAAAATTTAGATGCTAATAAGTTTCTATTAATAAGATTAGTGAAATGAATATAATTATTTCTAGAATTATTATAAAATCATAAGTTTTATCACCTTTATTTCCCAACCAAAATTAATGTGTCACTAATCTTTTTGCCTGTTCTTTTATCAAGCTGTAATTATAACCAATTGAAACCATACAAAGAAAGCATTACCATATTTGTGAGCATTATATTCTATTTAATAATCTTTTTCAGTTTGTCAATTAGATTAAATTGACAAAATAGTTTATTGAGAAGTTTTTTTTTAAAAAAAATTGGTTTTGTTGGGTGCAGTGGTGTATGCCTGTAATCTGAGTGGCTCAGGAGGCTGAGGCAGGAGGATCAAGTTTGAGCAGCTTAGCAAGAGCTTGTCTCTAAATAAAAAATAAAAAGGTCTGGGGATATTGCTCAATGGTTAGGTGCCTCTAAGTTCAATCCCCAGTACCAAACAAACAAACAAAATTTGGAATGAGGTTATAGCTCAGTTGGTAGAGCGCTCACCTAGCATGTGTGAGGTACTGAGTTAGATCCTTAGCACTACATAAACATAATAAAAAGGTGTTGTGTCCATCCACTATAAAAATATTTTTTAAAAACCCACTAATTTTAGTCTATTTATTTTAGTTACTCCATGGATTCTTTTGGACAACCCAGATCAGAAGATACCCAGTCGGTAGTCAGCAGAATGCAAAAAAAATACTGGAAAACCAAACAGGTCTTCATTAAAGCAACAGGAAAAAAGGAAGATGAGCATGTGGTGGCATCTGATGCTGAACTGGATGCTAAACTTGAGGTAAATTTAACTGGTTATTTTTTGGGACTAGAAGGACGTCTGTGACAAACTTTTATACCAAAGAGCTTAAGAGGATAGAGGCAAATTTTGTCATAGAGCATTTATTTGTAGTCAACTGTCAATCAGAGCTTCTGAATAAGAGGTCACAATCCTCACAATTGAAGAATTTTTGTAGAACAGATAAATTAGATAAATCATGAATTAGGTGGGGCTGGGGTTGTGACTCAGTGGTAGAGCATTCACCTAGCATATGCAAGGCCCTGGGTTCGATCTACAGCATCACATATAAATAAATTAAATAAAGGTAATGTGTCCAACTACAACTAAAAAATAAAATATTTTAAAAAATCATGAATTAGGTAATTTCTCTGACACCCATATTATAGTTTTTAAGCCAAATATTAATGAATTAAATTCCCAACTGGTAATTATGTATATTATGTATATATAATATATAACATATTTTATATACTGTAGTAATATTTTGTAGTACTTTGATGTGAAGTCTATACCTCACTGAAATAAATTAATTAAAATCAAATAGTGAATTAAGATAAAGAGTTTTTCTATTAAGAAATAAAGTTATTGAAGTAGTTCATAATAGTTTTTTTTAGTTTAGTTTTTCATTTAAAATAAAAGGAATAATTGCACTAAAACAACTTTAAACCTGTGAATATTTTATACTTTTAAATAATTAAGCTATAAAAGAGCCTCAAGTAAATTAACAAATAATTCTGGATTTGTAAGTTTAGATTTACTAATTTCATGTGCATATACTAATTTAAGATAACTCTTAAAAATATTTCCAAGCAGGTGTTGTTATGAATCTAACCATTATATTGGGATCCTTAAAAATATAGGTATAATTAAATAGATCTTGTTCTACTAAGTATTTTAATTCTGCAAATAAATAAAGTATTGCCATAACAAATATGGAAAGAGATGATGAACAAGCTGTTACTATTTGTGTTAAAAAGTATTCCTCTTACTATTCAGTAATAAATGTGGAAAAATGAAGGGATTTTATTATACTGTAGTATACAGTAGTGTATGTTTTAACACTAAGGGAAATCGTCACTTTTTCCACATAGTAGTCCCACAGGAGTAGATATTTTTTTGTTGTTTTACATTCCTAGGAAATCTGTGGATGACATATAATTATTGAAAATTTATCCATTAGACAGATATTTGGACTCAATCAAGAACTTTCTTCCACATTTACACTATCTTTTAAAGAACAAGAAATATTTTCATTGTAAAAATAAAAAGCAATAGTACATAAAACTTGTAAAGAACTCTGTGGGAAAAACTAACCGAAATCACTTCATTCTAGGAGAACTATCTTTTTGGTATTCTTTTCTAATCTTTTTCCATATGCATTTAAAATATCTTTAAATTGCGAAGACCCGCTACAAAATTCAATTCACACATATCTGAACTTACATGAAAAATTGATGATATTTTCCATGCAAGATTTTCATGCTTATTATTAATATTCCCTGGGTTTGATCAGGTATCTAAATTATGGCTAAATTGGGCCAGAGATAGGATATGCAGGCCATTTAATGATATTGGGAGCTTATTTGGTAATCAAAAGATTAGGGCTTGATATTACAACACAGAGCCAAGATCTTTTGAATAAACTATCATAATAAACAAAAAATTCTTCACTGTAAGAAGATTTTGTGAGGAGGAGACTGTACTCTGAAATCCATGTTGGCTTATTTACCTGGGAAACCTAAATTTATAGAGATATGTGAATAGTTATATCATGTGTATAATGTATTTTCAGCTCAAATTTTCACGATTAACTTTTTTAAAAATATTTTTTTACTTGTTGATAGATCTTTTTTTATTTATATGCAGTGCTGAGAGTCGAACACAGTGCCTCACACATGCCAGGCAAGTGTACTACCACTGAGCCACAGCCCCAGCCCATCACATGATTAACTTTCAAATGAAAGCTACTAGATATTTTATTTCTTTTTGTTAGCAGTTAGCAACAGTGCTAATGAAAGAATTTATAATATATATATTTTTAAGTATTTATTTTTTAGTCATAGTTGTACATAATACCTTTATTTTATTTATTTTTATGTGGTGCTAAGGATGGAACCCAGGGCCTCACACGAGCTAGGCAAGTGCTCTACCGCTGAGCCACAACCCCAGCCCGAAAGAATTAATATCCACAGAAAATTTCAAACAAAAATAATCCAAAATCGATTTATATTTGATGTTGTAAAATATTATTTTAAATTTTAAATTTAATTTTTATCTAATACATAAAAACAAAAATTATACATACTAACAGGGTACCATGTAATGCTGGATACATGTATATAACTCATAATGTTTAAATCAGGATGAACATATTTATTTTCTCAAACATTTATCATTTCTTTATGGTGAAAACTTACAAAATCCTTTCTTTTTTTTTTAATTTTATTGTAGTTGTAGATGGACAGAATGCCTTTATTTTATTTGTTTACTTTTATGTGGTACTGAGGATCGAACCCAATGCCTCACACATGCTAGGCAAGCGCTCTGCCACTGAGCTACAGCCCCAGCCCACAAAATCCTTTCATATAGCTCTCTGAAATGTACAGTACTTTATTGTTATCCTAACCATAACAGTACACCTGAGCTTGTAATATGTTATTTTTTAAAATATTTTTTAGATGTTGATGAACCTTTATTTTATTCATTTATTTATATGTGATGGTGAGAATTAAACCTAGTGCCTCACACATGCTAAGAAAGCATTCTGCCACTGAGCCACAACCCCAGCCCATGTGTTATTTTTATAGTAAGTTTAATGCACTGTTTTGTTTATACCAATGTTAGGAAAAAGCCAAATTCGGAGTTAACACATTCTTAGGTTATACTCTTTTCATCTGTGGTTGGCAGTATTTGGTGCAGTTTATTTATATTGGATACATCTTGTTTGGTGTTTAGATGGTTGCAGCTGAGAGGAGGATAAATTTCACAGATTTAGCCCATGTATTTATCATCATTTTTTCTAAATCCAATGGGTGAAATCCAAATGTGCTTTTTTATAAAAAGTAAAACCAAAGCTAAAATATGTCACAGCCATGGAAAATAGACATAATATTTATAAAATAGACATAATATTCCACTTTTGAAGTTCTTATAAATTATATCTGTTTATGGTTCTTTAAAGTGTCTTAATAAAATTTGTATTTCAAGGTTTTTCACTCCATTCAAGAGACGTGCACTGAACTTCTGAAGATAGTTGAGAAATATCAGCTAAGACTCAACGGTATGACATCATGGGTACCTGATAATTCCCATTGAAAATTAATATTAGTTTGCATTTTTTTACATTCTTTGTTGGTGCATTATAGTTGCACATAATGGTGGGATTTGTTGTTACATATTTGTACATGCACACAATATAATGATATAATTTGCCCAATATCACTCCCCTAGTTTGTATATTGAAAACAAGTCATTTAATGGAAAAATAGTGGCTTATTGAACTATTTTGTGAGCAGTTTTTTAAAAATATTTTTTAGTTTTTGATGGACCTTTATTTTATTTATTTGTATGTGGTGCTGAAAATCAAACCCAGTGCCTCACGCATGCTAGGCAAGCACGCTACCACCGAGCCACCACCCCAGCCGCTGTGAGCAGTTTTTAATGGCAAAATACAAACATTCATAGTGACCTATTCCCAAAATCCTTAGTATTCATATTCTCTAGTTCATCAAATCCTTTGACACAGATTCAAAAGTGATGTTCATTTTTCTTTCTTTTCTTTTTTAAAGTTCTAGGGATTGAACCTAGGGCCTCACACATGCTAGGCATGTACTTTTTAAAATTAATTTTATTTGTTTAGTTGTAGATGGACAAAATACCTTTATTTTATGTGTTTATATTTATGTGGTGCTGAGGATCGAACTGAATGTCTCACCCATGCCGGTGAGTGCTCTTCCACTGAGTCACAACCCCAGTGCCTAGGCATGTACTCTTACCTCTGAACTATATCCCAGCCCTCTTTAAATTTTGAGATTGGTCTCATTCTCTAAATTTCTCAGGCTGGTGTGGAACTTGTGATCCTTTTGCCTCAGTCTTCCAAGTAGTTGACACTACAGGTGTGCATCTTCTCACCCTGCTGATATTGTTTTCTTGCCAAGAGTCTTAAGTAGATTTGTTTCCATCACTTAAAAGCTTCTTTCTTGACCCCCACTTACTCTCAGAGTTAGCCCATTTCTCTCCTCCTCATACGGAAAAATTTGGCATAATTGTGTGCAGTCTATTCCTTTCTGTTTGCTTAATTTTATACCCACTCTAGTTTTCATCCCTACCACTCCACCAAATTTCTCTTATCAAGGTTATGAAGAGGTAAGCCCAATGACCAGTCCTTACTTGGCTTATTATATCATCTAACACAGTTGATTATTATCTGCTGCTTGATATTCTCTTCACTCTGCTTCTAGGCACCACGCTTCCCTGGTTTTCTTCTTAATTGTTTTTTTCTTCTCATTCTGCTTTTGCTGGATTCTTCTTTCCCCTTGACCTCATTGGGTTGGAACTCAGTCTTGGATTTTTTTTTCCTGCTTAAATACAGTGGCCTACTGGATATGGCTACCCCTATGATCCTAGTTACCTCTCTGATCACATTTCCTAAAATCTGTCTTTTTGAACTTATATTGATCTCTTTCACAGCAGGCATGTCTTTACCGTGGACTCCGTAACTTCCCTTAGGTATGACCAAATGTCATCTTTATATTGAGGAATTCCCCAAACCCCATATATAAAATACAGTACCCCTTCTCCTTCATAACTCCCTGTTATTTAACATTCTATATTTTATCTGCTGTTTTTCTTCTCACCACTAGAATATGCTTTCCTTAAGAACAGGACTTTGTCTATTTTATTTTTATGTCCCTGAAGCCTATAAACAATATCTAGAATCTACTCAGTATTCAATAAATATTTGCTCAGTGAATGAATGATTTCTCATGAAGCTATGTAAGTTAATCTTACTACTTTATAATCAAAGCTCATATACCATCCCATTAAATAAAGAAATCCAGGGCTGGGGATGTGACTCACTGGTAGCCTAGCAGGCATAAGGCCCTGGGTTCAATCACCAACAATTCAGAAAAGAACAGAAATTCAGTAAGGCATAGTTACTCAAGTATTTTATGAGTATCTGCTATGTGTAAGGCTATATGCTTTTCCCAAGGAAATAGTTGGGAGAAACAACTTTTGTAAAAATTAAGAGATGAGTTCAGTATAGAAATAAAGACATGACTCTGAATTCCTATAAGTGAAAAATAACTGGAATAGAGCAATGCAACTCTATAAATGGGAATTGAGGTAAAACTTCAAGGGTTTATAGAACTGAATATATGGAGAAAAGATTTGGCATCTAGGGAATGAGCTTAAGAAATGAGAAGAGCATGCATGGGCAGAAGAGTTTCTAACTGAGACTAATAGGGGAATAAAGGAGCAAATGAAGTTTGGGGTCAGATTATTGGGATAGTATATTTTACCAAGCAATTAAAAGCTGTTACAGCCATTGGACCAAAGAAGTCTTGTGATAGAAGTGATGACAAGAAATATTGGCAAGTTTGTTTGTCTTAAATTTTGTCCTGAAATCACTAGATCTTTTAGCACTCTGACAGAACATTTCAGAATAAGGAAGAGATTACACATATGTAGATTTCATTATGTACTTTCTCTTTGAAATTGTATATAAATATGTGTTTTCTTGAAGACTCTTGTATTAATACATCTTCTGTTAGGATTAACATCAGACAAACATGGGAATTACATCAGGCACAAATAGTAAATTAGTACAGTGCTATAAATCTCTCTCTTTTTTGGTGCTGGGGATGGAATCTCTAGGAATTCATGATGAATGCTCAGAATGTTCTCCATTGCTGAGCTACACCCCAACCTCCAGTGTTATAAATATTTATGGAAATCACTTGACTAGGGGAAGAACATATCAGGGTGGGATCTCAGTAGATGTTGCAGGCAGCACAACACACTCGCAGCACACATTCAACCATATTCCCTGTTTTTTTGCATTGATAAAGATAAGACTTAGTGATGCTTATATTCACTTGATACTTTATAATGAAGTATACTAGTTTCTCAGAGATATTTCTGAATCATCATACAAAAATGAGTATTTTTCCTAGTAGTTTTCACTGAGGTACATTTATAAACTTCTGACTCAAAGGAAATGTACATCTCTCAATTAATCAGAATATTAAATTAACATGACTCCCCCCAGTTCCAATCTACTCTGGATCAGGTGAGTTGTTCATAATATGATAAATGGTTTTATTAAAGAGGATACCAGAGAATGTACAGTCACCCCCCATGACACTACCATGTTCTAGAGTCACTTGTAAATATCACAGAGAGAAGCAGCAGGATTGGGGAATCTGTAGATGAGAAGGGCCGATTCTATTGCTGGCTCAGAGGAACATGGGGACGTACCTAAAATTTTAAACTTCAGTTTTTTCTGTAGTGCACTAAGGTGAGAGTAGGTATGACATTTGGTTTTGTTTTGTTCAATTGGACATTTTATAACTTTTCCCACTTATCTATCTTATTGTGGTTAGAGTGTCACTTTATACAATATAATTGTTTCTAAAACTATAGTGAGGGACAACTTTTTTTGTTTTGTGGTTTACTTCTAATCTGACAGTTTTGTAAGATAAAGTAAAAGTGGAATTTTAGAAAATGAGATTTAAAAAGACATGTAAACCCAAGTTCTGTTTCTCCCCCTCCTCTTGTTTTTTTTTATGTGGATTTGGCACTGAACTTTGGGGCTTGAGCATGCTAAGCATACATTCCACCACTGAGCTGTACCCTAGCCCCCTACTTTTTTATTATTAGATTTGACAGCTAATGACATAGAATGAATTGGACATAACTTTCCTATGTTCATATGGGAATACACAACCCGTGTAACTCCACATCATACACAACCACAATAGGAAGTTATACTCCACGTATGTATAATATGTCAAAATACACTCTACTGTAATGTATATCTAAAAAGAACAAATAAAAAAGAAAAAGAAAAGATCTGACAGTGATAAAATACTCATTCAATTAGCAAAAGTTTCTACACAATTACTCTGGTAACCAATAATTATTGACAGGTGCTAGCCTGAAACTTTTAGGGTTTCTGCAGCAGAACTGTGGACATTTGTGGGTCTGAGATACTAAGGATGAGAATCACTAATAAATCAACAACTATATAAATAGGAAAAAGTACTTTGTAAAAGGCAATGAGTCTAAAATGTATTTCTGCACATTTGAAAATGTAATTTTCTTCCTTTTTTTTGTTTTATTTTTTTCACTAAAGATCAGTTTTCCCAAAGCAAGGTCTATCAATTCACTGCATCAAAATGATCTGGAATGCTTGTAAAATGTGTATCTCCAGAAATATAAAATCAGACTCTCTGGAAATGAAGCCCAGGAATTTTCATTTTTACAATAAGTCTTTTCTTCTTCCTTCCTAAGTAATTCTTATATTCCCCAAGTAATTCTTAATATCAGAATTACTGGTGTGAGAATTTTATTTTTTTGTGTGTGTATTTTAAATAATTGATGGAATGAAATAATTAACTATACTATATTTTCCCTCTAGTTATATCAGAGGAAGAAAATGAGCTAGGGCTCTTTTTAAAGTTTCAAGCAGAACGGGATGCTACTCAAGCTGGAAAAATGATGGATGCCACTGGCAAGGCACTCTGTTCTTCTGCCAAGCAAAGGTTTACCCATGGCTTTTCATCATGTTTATATCTATAATCTATTTGACAATTTTGACATATGTCTTAAGTTTGCATGTTTGGAAAGGAAAGGTCATTCCAATGAAGAATTAAGGAAAAGAGAAGCATATTGTAGTATACAATTGTTTTGATGCCTAGCTCTTAGTTATTAATTTTGTATTTAAAAGAACTATTCTTTTTTTTTTTTTTTTTTTTTTAAATATTTATTTATTTTTCGGTGGACACAACATCTTTGTTTGTATGTGGTGCTGAGGATCGAACCCGGGCCGCACGCATGCCAGGCAAGCGCGCTACCACTTGAGCCACATCCCCAGCCCCTAAAAGAACTATTCTAAAATTGATGTTCTTCATTGCTTAATTCCTAGAAATAGCCTTTAGGCCTATATTTCTATTTCGTAAATGACTTAATGTAAGAGTCACAGAATGGCTAACATTTAAAATATGAATATTTCCACTTTTTCTTTTCACATTCTAGTTTGATAGGCAAGTGCTCTACCACTGAGCTACCCCACACCCTCTTTCACTTTTTTTTTTTGGTACAGAGATTGAACTCAGAGGCACTTAACCACTGAGCCACATCCCCAGCCCTTTTTATATTTTATTTTGAGAAAGGGTCTCACTAAGTTGCTTACGGTTTCGCTAAGTTGCTTAGGCTAGATTTGAACCTGCAATCCTCCTGCTTCAGTCTCCTGAGTTAGGGTTGGGTTAGGGTTAGGTGTGTGCCACCATGCCCAGCCCTCTTTCACTTTTTTGATATTATACTATCTTTAAGAACATTAAGACTATTCTTTTAAGTGGAATTCAATTTTTTCTTCTTAATTTTTGTTTTCTATATATCATTTCACGATATTTTAGCATAAAGCTACTTGCCCCAAAGAATCTCCTGTTAATATAATCTGAATTTTTGAATTTCAGAAGAAAAATGAAAACAGGCCTTCTTAGGCCTGTAAAGATGATGTCCAGATTAAGTGGCTTTATTTCAAAGCCACCACATCAGTGCAGTAGTCTATCTTGAAGATAGTGAGACAGAGACTCAGTATAGGGCCCTCTAGTGCCATAAAGTCAAAAGCAGTGTGGAGGAGCTGAATTTGCTTTGTTTCTTAAGTACTTTACCTCATCCTCATATGCTAAGAATTCCATACTCATTAATTCTTCTAGCATTTTATCTGATCTTCTGCACCCAGGCTTTTCCTAAACTTTCCAAATAAAAGGCTGTGTATGAATTGGATTGTGTTTTATGAATTCAGGTTCTCTGTTCCCTGAGAACTTTTTTCTAAATGGTAGGGTTACTTGGCAGATTATCTATGCATGAACTAATATCCACAATGTTGCAAACATTATAGATTTTCTTAAGTAAAAAAGGAAGTACAAAATATCATTATTAATTATTCAAAATTGGCTATGTTATTTCTATTTGCTTTCTCTATCTCTTTAGCCATCTTGATAATTTCCTATCTGTAAACTAATTTTTAAATTTTTTATTTATATATGACAGCGGAATGCATTACAATTCTTATTACACATATAGAGCACAATTTTTCATATCTCTGGTTGTATACACAGTATATTCACACCAATTTGTGTCTTCATACCTGTACTATAAACTAATATTTATAGCACAATGCTTTTTGATTGATTGGTTTAAACTTTTGTTTTACATGTGGGATGTACAACCCTCTGATTCTTACCTCTCTGTCACCAGACTGGCCTTGTGTACTCCTCTGTCTCGTCTTAAGCAAGAAGTAACAACCTTCAGTCAAAGGGCAGTATCAGATACCTTGATGACAATTAATAGGATGGAGCAGGCACGCACAGAATACAGAGGAGCTCTCCTGTGGATGAAAGATGTCTCCCAAGAACTGGACCCAGACACCTTGAAACAAGTGGAAAAGTTCAGAAAAGTATGAAAATATGTCACTTTCCTTTTCTAGTTACATAAAATATGGAACTGATACAGAATGAAGATTATAAAATATGATTATATACTAATACTGGACTGTTTTTTTAAAAATATGCTTTATTATGAATTCTTGGTTGTGTGGAGATTTTGGTTAAAGTATAAAAGGTTGTTATTCTTCTATTTTTACTCTTTGAATGGCATGGTATCCCTACCTCAACAGTCTTTTTTTTTTTAATGTGTGTGTGTTCTCTTTTTTTAATATTTATTTTTTAGCTTTAGGTGGACACAATATCTTTATTTTATTTTTATGTGGTGCTGAGGATCGAACCCAGTGTCTCACGCATGCCAGGCGAGCGCACTACGGCTTGAGCCACATCCCCAGCACCCTCATCAGTCTTTTTACTAATCTTTTTTATCCCCCTCATAACCTAATTACACTTTAAATGTTCTTTATCTGGACTTTTGGAACTTGTTTGTAGGAAGAAAACTGTTTATTACTGAGGAAAAAATATCTAATTTAAGTAAAAATTTGTGTAAAATTATTAATTTTAAGAAAAGGGAAGGTTCTTAAATTTTTCATTCTGCCAAAATATAAAGTTTGACCACAAACCTTGTAAGCAACTATCTATGTATGGACAAATGTTTTTGCTAAATAAGCTTATTATAAACCATATCCTCTACATTTACTATGCCTGGACATTAAATTTCATTCATTCATTCATTTCATAGAGAAGCTATAATAAATATTTACTATTGATGGAGCTGTATACTGTGCCAGCTATTGTAAGTGGTTTGCCTCATTGATTACTCCCAACAGCCTTGTAAAGTAAGTGAACACATGACCTCAAGCCCCAGAAACCTTTTATTCCATCCCTGTTACAATCCTTGACAATTAGAATTCAGTGCAAGGGGGTGGTTGCACAACATTGTGAATGCCCTAAATGCCACTGAATTGTACACTTTAAAATGGTTACTTGTAATGTTATGTGAATTTCATTTCAATTAAAAAAGAAAAACAAGAACGCAATCCAAATTCCTATCTGAACTAAAAAAGCTCTGCATTGTCTGATCCCTGGTCCTTCTACAGTCTCATCCTGTGCTTGCTTCCAGTGCTCCAAGAAGAATATACTCTACCCTATGCCTTCCTTTTTTGAAAACTTGATAAGCTCTTTGCCCTCTCCCACTCGTAGAACCCTTGTCCTTGTTTTTCCCTGGTCCTGCAATACTCTTCATTGCGTCTCAGCATAGCCTGCTCATCATCTTTTGTCTCAATTGAAATGTGAGGCATAAACTCACCAAAGTTTGCCCAATTTTATTAAAAGTAGTCACCCATTTTTTCAACTTATTTGCTATTTTGCAGCCTGAGATTATATTGTATATTTATTTACTATGTTTTTTTCCTGTGCCTTTCTACCCAGAGATGGTAGGAAAGTATCATAATATCCTAGTACCTTGAAGAGTACTTTGCATGTAATAGGTACCTCATAAATATTCATTGAATAAATGAATTAAAAGTTGAGTGTTCACATTACTCAATCACTCCTGACTCACTCTCTGTATAAGAAATAGGCCTGAGTTTAAATTTATGAATGGCTCCATGATTCAGAAATATTATTAATGCTTCTCAATATTTTAATTAAGTCCCATTTCCATTTATTCTTCTGCATGTAGACAAATACTGTCCATAATCCTGAACATCTTAGGTCTTTCTTTTTATTTGGATTTTTTCTTATTAACTATATAATTTCCATCTATCATCTCATACTTTCTCAACCTAAAGATATCTACTAGAAAGAATCTTTTACAGTTCTTTAGAGTCTTCATTAATCACGGAATATTAATAATACTGGGCAGAGGAATTGGTATCCTTTATTACAATTTCATGTGTCTGAAAACATTTATTATGAACTTGTATGCTATATTTATATCTGTATTATAGGTAATAATAGCATTTTTGTGATTACAGGTACAGATCCAAGTGAGAAATAGCAAAAGTTCTTTTGACAAATTAAAGATGGATGTTTGTCAGAAAGTGGATTTACTTGGAGCTAGTCGCTGCAATATGTTATCTCATTCACTCACTACCTACCAGGTACCCACCTCCATGGTCAGCATGCCCTTGCAGTAAAGATGAGTGGTGAGATTCCTTTTTAAAAGTTGTCTAAAGGGTACAAATAAATTATAGTTGATCAGATTCCTTTGAATCTGCTGTAATTGACTCATTGAGGTTACAACAGTCAGAAAATTATAAAGTCCTAAACTGAAAAAGACCTTAGAGATTATCTACTCTTGTAGCTTCACATTATTCTCCTTGGTGTTCTAGGGAGAGAGGGGACCACTTACCTGTAAATGGAAATGTTGAGAAGGCTAAATACAAGACCCCATTAGCTTTGATTCAACTAGAGCTTTTCAATTTCTCACTTTAAATTTCTACATAAACTTTCATATGAAGCAAAGATATTGTGGCTCCAAAAGTTTGAAAGATTTTCTGTCATTTTATGGATGAGAAAAGTGAAACCTATGAGAATTAAAATAAATAGCAATATTGAATTCAAAAACATAACTTTTCTTTTTTTGAGAGAGAAGAGAGAGAGAATTTTTTTATTATTTATTTTTCAGTTTTCGGTGGAAAAACATAACTTTTCTAATTCTAGGTCATGTGTTTTTTTCATTCTGCCATATTACCATCCTAAATAGCTTTCTCCTCAGAGGTCTTACTTCTGCTTTAATTACCCCAAATCACACATAAATAACACATAATGAATAAGTTAGATATTAATAAACAGCAGTTGCTGACTTTAATGTATATTTGTAAATAGCAAAGTAAAATGAACTGTACTTACATAGGAAAATAATAATAAAACTAAAGGAAATAGGTATTAACTCTATAGGGAATCTACCTAATTCAGTTCAAAACTATGGAATGTAGGAATCAAGAAAGATTCATTTGAACTGAGCATGATGGCACACACCTGTGATCCCAGTAGCTTGGGAGGCTGAGATAGGAAGACTGTGAGTTCAAAGCCAACCTCAGCAAAAGTGAGGTACTAAGCAACTCAGTGAGACCCTGCCTCTAAATAAAATACAAAATAGGGATGGGGATGTGGCTTGGTGGGCAAGTGCCTCCAAGTTCAATCCCCAGTACCAAAAAAAAAGATGCATTTGAAAATAAAAAGTGTATGACTATTTGTGAAGCATGATGCCGTAACCCAATAACTATTAGTTCAGTTCTTTTATTTTCTCCACTCATTCCCTTCACTTTGAATACAAACACTGAAGCAACAACGAAAATTTTCAATTACCTGAGTTAGCTTGAGAACAACACATTTTTGGAACAAATCTTTCTTGAACCCTCAATGAAAAGCCAAATTAGTGGTAAATATTTTCTCAAAAAGATGCTCTTATATGATAGCAACATAAAGATTATACATTATGTCTATCCTTCTATAGTGATTGGCATTTCCATGCTTTTAACATTTTGCTTTTGGATTCCTCAGGTGTTCTGATCCATTAGTTTTCTTTCTTTTAGCTGCAGTCACTCTCTAGGCTCTAGTGTGCATTCCAGTGCTGTTTAAAAAATAGGCACACATGCATGCAGACATTGGTGCTAACTTTCATGTAAAGTTATGATTTATAGTTCAACTTTTCTTGAACAACTGAATTTAGTGCCTGCTGTTTCTTGTGCAGCAACTATTCATATACTACACTAGTGAGGAAATAGAGCACAGAACTGATCGTGGAGGAGAAGCAGAACTATAGTGTCACCTTTTCTTTTTCTGCAGAGAACACTGCTTGGATTTTGGGAGAAAACAGCTCAAATGATGTCCCAAATCTGTGAGGGCTGTGTTGGCTTTCATCCATATGATTTTGTAGCTTTCAAGGTACATTTCTTCCCCCTGTTTTCTTGCTTTGACTTATTATACTTCATTTGGGTGATAACATTGAAACTATTTTTTTGCTAAGTTTAATTTCTTTTTTTTAAAGAGAGAGAGAGAGAATTTTTTAATATTTAGTTTTTAGTTTTTTTTTTCGGCAGACACAACATCTTTGTTTGTGTGTGGTGCTGAGGATCGAACCCGGGCCGCACGCATGCCAGGCGAGCGCGCTACCGCTTGAGCCACATCCCCAGCCCTAATTTCAAATTTATAAAATATCAGGCAACATTTTCCTGCACTCTTTCAGCCAAGGATCAGCACTTGCCTTATTCCAAATGCTGCCAGTAAGACTAAAAGCCATGGAAATACTGCTGGCAGATTCAAGGTATTAGGGAATGTGGGCGAGTGAAAAGAAAATTAAAATGCAAAGGAGATTTTTTAAAGGCTATAGAAGGAAAAATTTAACGGGAATAAGTGATGGGAACTGATCATGTTCAACTAAAGAAGTTTAAAAGACAAATTTCCTTGTTTTACTCTTATATAGATATGGTTAATGATGCCCCAAATATGCCAGTTATGGTCATTACTATGTGTAATGTCTCTTGCAACGCAAGAGACTACTAACATATTAGATCAGTTCTTTCTGAAACAGTTACATGTGAAAGATGCTTTTTGGCTATGATTACAGAGCTTTTGACATCTGTATGTCTTACAGTCATCTTTGCGTGTGGCTCATCCAGAAGAGTCACACTGTGATAGTCATTTCTTCAGTTCTGATAGCCTAGATTTCAGTACCTTTTAACTTGCCATTGTGCCTTGTTTTCAGTAGAGCATGAAATGGGTTGCTGCTGTATTTCTTCAAGTTGAATATAATATTTGCAATGGGTTCATATCCTGTAACCATATATTACTGGGCTTTGGGATGGATTTTTATCTTATGTTCTGACATGGTATCTTCCAGCCCCAAAGATGCCCTTAAAGTTTGTTTTACTTTTTCTATAGTTGTTAAACCAGTCTGTCTCTAGTCCACATCACAGTGTCTGCGGTTACCACAGGCAGCCAGGATAAACAAGTACATATGTGGGGCTCAGTTCAAATCACATTAGCACATATTTACCATATTTCTCACTCTAGTTCAGAACTATTTCTATATTGTTTTTTAGAGTTTTTATTCTAATTTTGCATGCAAAGAGAAACAGATTCTTTCCATCTACTTAACATTGAATTTCTTATCTTTAGAGACTACAAGATACTCCAAAGAAACTTTCTGAAGATCACAAAGAAGAACAAATAGAAGGCAGTTTTCTTACTGAAAACCTCCATAAGTAAGCCAGCAAATCTATATACTGTAAGGGAAGTCCTGGACACCATCCTATGATATATGTGGGAAGAATTGTTTCTTCTCTTGTTCATTAATACTTATTTCTACCTCATTTTTACAAACAACACATTTGTTGTTTCAAAACATTTGTTTTGTTTTTTCTTCCCTCATTTTTAACACTACAGGTAAAGGAAGTAACAGGAGTACTAAACAAATTGTGGTGATACTCCAGATTCTGTCATTTGGGAGTCTTATATTAAGAGCCATGAGTACCTCTGTTGCAGGGACAGCATGAGAGAAGCAAGGGACAAGGGCCAGCAATTGTGAGAAAAGCTATTAAAAATCTATAGCAACTCAAGAAGCTGAGTCAGGAGGATTACAGGTTCAAGGCCAACTTAGTAAGACCCTGTTTCAAAATAAATAAATAAATAGATAGATAGATAAGACTGGGGATATGGCTCAGTGGTAGAGTATCCCTGGTTTCAGTCCCCAGTACTGGGGGGGGGGGAATCTATCTTTATAACAACACAGATAGGACTGGAACTGGTTATGTACATCCTTCTTATTACCTGTTTCCCTCTTATTAAATCTTCCCCCTGTTTCTCTTTCAGAGTGCCACAATTATTTTAAGCAGATTGACTCAATATAACAACAAACTCAGAAATTAGGCCCAAATAATTACAAACCATTATTGCTGAATCAAAGGTGATCCTAAATATAAGGCATTTCCCCATTTTTCTCTATAGGAAATCCAAACCGATTTTTTTTTTTTTTTTTTTGGTAGTGGTGCTGGAGATTGAACCCAGGGGCTTGTGCATGAAAGGCAAGCACTCTATCAACTGAGCTATATATCCCCAGCCCCCAAACCAAATTTTTAGCTAACTTAAATATATAAATGTTTTAGATCAATGTTTAGTAAATGTTTAGCTGTACATTAAACTTACCTTAATTACATATTGACATTTGAAATCATATGCTGCTAGGCGTGGTGGGGCACGCCTATGATTCCAGCAACTCAGGAGGCTGAGACAGGAGGATCACAAGTTCAAGGTTAGCCTCAGCAACTTAGTGAGACCCTGTCTCAAAATAAAATATAAAAAGGACTAGGGATGTAGCTTGGTGGTATGGAAACCTTGGGCTCAGTTTTTTAAAAAATAACAAAAATATCATATGCTAAATGAAATATATTAATCTAGTATTTTTATTCTCATATTTCATGGAAGTTTTATTCAGAAGCTTCTCATGCATCTTCAAGATGATGAGAACATCTTTTTGAGTTAACTAACAGATTCCTAAGCACTTCACCTTCTCTTCCATCTAAGTTGTTTAAGAAAAATATACACATAACTGTCATTGGAAATTTTGTTTCAAGTTAAATATCTTTCTGCTTTATAGGATTTCTTTTAGTATTTGCAAATAAATATTATATTGCTTTTTAAGTGTCTTTAAAGACTTATTAAAATACATCTAATACTAGCAATTATGAGATTATGCCCTAGGAATAATGGCTAAATCTGTATTCAATCTCTTTATCTCATTTTTTTATTATTACATGGATTCTATAAATCAACACATTAGATAGAAGCCCTAAACATCCAAAATTAATATTGACTGAGGATATTTTAGGCAAATGTCTCTTCTTTCACAAACATCACTTTATTCTTTAAAATAGAACTCCCCTACCTTTTTCTGGAATATTCTTCATTCCCTTCATTTATTTCCTAAGAGTTCTTAAACAAAACCCTCTAAAACTTGAAAATAAAACTTCTTACAGAGTTCTCTAAAATGCTTACACCAGAGGTGTTTCACATTTCATAACTTTTGGGATTTTGGAATATTTGCATATACATAATGAGATATCTTAGAATGGGACCTAAGTCTAAACATGAATTCATATATGTTTCATACACATTACCTGAGGAAATTTATATTTTTAATAATTTTGGACATAGTGTCGAATTTTTCCTCTTGTGGTATCATGTTCTCAAAAATTTTAGATTTAAGAACATTTGGATTTTTAAATTAAGGATGCTCAACCTTGAATTTAGCACAGTTCCTGCAATGCTGATGTACAGATACTCAGTAAGTGATTACTGAAAGCATAGAGATCTTTAAAACAGAAAATACTCTCAGATATAAATTTTGTGAGATCTACAGATAAGTGTTTTTAAGTTTCCTGACTTTAAAAAAGTTGTTTTTTTTAAACCATGCCAGGTGCTGTAACACACGCCTGTAATCCCAACAGCTTGGGAGACTGAGGCAGGAGGATCAAGAGTTCAAAGTCAGCCTCAGTAATTTAGTGAGGCACTAAGCAACTGTCTCTAATAAAATAGTTTTAGAAATATAGGGCTGGGGATATGGTTAAGGATCCCTGTTTAAGCATCCCTGGGTTCAATCCCCAGTAACTCCCCTGATAAAAGTTTTTTTAAACCATATTAAACTGAGGAATATGAATTCCAAATGTATTTTAACTAAAATCCATGTATTTTCTTTACTTCAGGGTAGTTTTGTCAGAAGAGGAAGCAAGCTTTGGGAGTGAACCAGGTGAGATGGTAAATTCTTTACTTTGTAATGGTCAAATTAGATGTTAAAAGTTTATCCCAATTTTTAACACAGAGATTGTGTTGATATCCATTCAATTTTTTAAAATGCTAAGTTTTTGTTCTGTACACTTTCATGTTATCTTTCAAGGAGTGCCTAATTAGAGGGTCTAGTAGTCTTTTTTAGGTAGGTGCTTTTAAATGCAGAAATCTATTTTACAGGGCTGCATGATTAAGTTTCAAGTTTTCTTCACACTTAAATTTGTGTTCTTATTTTTAAAATAAATATTATATATGTATATATACATATATGTGTGTATATACATATATTTGATACATATATATGCATGTATATATATATACATATGTATTCAACATATTTGAATCACTGTGGTAAAAAAAGAGTATAGAAAAAGTGAATTTGAATACTTTTTTTGGGTTCCGGGGATTGAATTCAGGGGCACTCAACCATTGAACCAAATCCCCAGCCCTTTTTGTATTTTATTTAGATACAGGGTCTCACTGAGTTGCTTAGCCCCTTGCAGTTGTTGAGACTGGTTTTGAACTCTCGATCCTCCTGCCTTAGCCTCCCAAGCTGCTGGGATTACAGGCGTGTGCCACTGTGCCTGGCTGAATCCTTAGTTGTTGTTTTTTTTTTTTTTTTAAATATTTTATAGTTGTACATGGACACAATACCTTTATTTATTATTATGTGGTGCTGAGAATTGAACCCAGGGCCTCACATATGCTAGGCAAGCACTCTACCACTGAGCCACAACCCCAGCCCTGAATCCTTAGTTTTTGAAAGCAAATCACTTATGCCGCTCTCAGTTGTATCATCTGAAATATGAGTAATTTGTGCCTACCTTAACAGGAACATTAAGGATAGAGATAATATTTACAAATTACATAGCACATAGCAATAAAAATGAGAGGTACTTATGTATATTCAAATATGTACATAAATAGATTATATGGATAAAATATTTTAAGAAGCCATAATTATGAATTTATATATGTAACACAGCTTCAAAATTTATGTTCAAAAGGTTAACTATGGTTTTGTGTATATCCTGTACCTAAAAAATAGAGAATATTCTTTAAAAGTCATAAAGAAAATATACTGAACATTATTGTAATTTCACTCTTCAGTCATAGTATTATCTTTAAAATCCTGCTGTGTGGGTAATTATATCCCCTTTTAAGTTCCAGACATTCATTTGGTCTTTATTCCTTTTTTCTTGTTTAATCTTGTTATAGGTTTACTCATTTCATTATTTTTTAATAAACTAACTTATAGCTTTGTTAATCTTCTCTATTGAATTTTTGTTTTCTGTTTTATTAATTTTGGTTCTTTATCATTTTTACTTTTCATATATCACACAAGTTTTGGAAAAAGCACCTTTAATCTGAGTGTGGTAGTCCACGCTGATCTGATAGTCCAGCTACTTGGAGAGACTGAGGTGGGAGAATCACTTTGAGCCTAGGAATTTGAGGTCAGTTTGGGTAACAAAGCTAGACCCTGTCCAAAAAAAAAAAAGACCACTAGATGGGGTCAAGTTGTATTTAGTGATGAAGCTGCATGAGGCTCTAGGTCCTATCCTAGAACAAAAACAAAACAAAATGAAAAACCCCACAAACAAAACCATTCCAAATAACACTTTGTGTAGGTATATTTTAAATACCATAAAACTCAGTCATTCTAAGTATACAAGTAGTTTTTAGTTACTACTGAGAGGTGCAACCATTTCCATAAATCAGCTTTACAACATTTTCATCCCCTCAATAAGATCCCTTATGCCCATTTGCAGTATTCCTATTCCTATCCCCAGCCAGTCATTGACCTACTTTTGTTTGTTTGCTTTTGTGACGGAGTGTTACTAAATGGCCCAGGCTGCGCTGAACTCACAATCCTCCTGTGTCAGCCTCTCAAGTAGCTGAGATTATAGGTGTATGCCACCCTCCCAGTGGTTTCTCATTTATATTTGGACCTGTGCTTCTGTTTTCTATTTGTTTTATCACTCACTCCCATGCTTTTATCTCTGGTATTGGCTTAATATTTGAAGTTCTTATTGTTTGTTTTAAAATTTTTCTCTGTTCTTTCTTTTTTCCATGAACTGATTTGAAAGTTATACATTTTATTTCCATCTTTTGTGGTCTAATTTTATCCTGCTTACCTAATAAAGTCCAAGGTTCATCAATATTTCAATTTCCCCAGAATATTCAAAAGACCTTAGAATACTAATCCCAATTATTGCCATACCAGCTCTTTAAGTATTAATATTTTATTTCTATCTTTTTCACAAATTAAGAAATTATTTTATGAATATTAGATTTACCAATATTTTCCTTTCTTATTATTTCTTCATATATTTCAAATCTTCATTATGAGTTCATTCTTCTTATCTGCCCTTTAGTTTAAAAGTTGTTAAGAAGATATATTGGTGGTAAATTTGGCTTATATATACCTGGTTATATTGTTATTTCTCACTTTTGAAAGAGTTTGCTCAGCAAACAATTTTAGGTTGGTTAGTATTTTCTTCCAGAACTTTGGTAATTTCAAAAATTACTGTTCCATCATTCCACTGGTTTTGTTGAGGAAAAGAAAAAATGTTAATCAGATTATTATTCCTGTATAGTGACTTTGAATTTTCTATTTGGCTACTTTTAGAATGTGTTCTTTGTTTTGGGTGTTCTGCTCTTTTAGTACAGTGTGCCAAGATATATTAATTTTTGTTGTTGTTTTAATCTGTGATGGTATATAAATTGCATTCCTTAAATCTGTCTTTTATCTCAACCATTCTTACTTTTTTAGTTTGGTAAAATATGCATGGCTTAAACATTATTTTTTAAAATATTGCTTCTTTTCTATTTTCCTTATTCTTTCCTTCCTCCACTCCAATAAGCTTATGGTGGACCCTTTCGTTAATTCCTTATATCTTTTAACTTCTATTTCATATTTGCCATTCCCTTTTCACTCTACACAGCATTGTAGGTAAGTTATTCAGATCTGTTTTTCACTAATTTTCTCTTCTTGCTTCCAGTCTATTGTGTAATGTATACAGCAAGTTTCCCCCTATACATTTTATTTCTAAAAGTTCTATTTGGTTTTTCTATGAATTTCTGTAGTGGGTTTTTATAGTCCTTTGCTCTTTCTTGCTTTTTGACTCATATTTGTATTTAAAAATACAAATATTTGACGTCCTCTAATTTTCTTGTGGTAGTTTGTTTAGTGATTTCTGATTATGAGCTAATTTTTATTTGCTCTCAATCTGTGAGAATCCTGGAAGTGTAACAAGTATTTGCTTATATTGCTTGGTTTCAGAGTTGAGGAATATTCATAGCCTGGAGACCCCTTTAACCTCCTTTCAGAGCCTGTCAGCTCAGTGTTGGAATTCTGGGATCAGCTTGGTTTTCTTGTGTTGAAGGCTTTGTCTCCAGAGAACAGTGTCAACATGGAAAGGGGATCTGTCTTTCCTCTTTGCTTGATGCTCATCTTTCCTAGATCTGGATTTAGTCTAGATATGCATTAAAAGTGTTTTTCATAATTTTAGTGAGAATTCTTTTTTTGGGGGGGGCAAGGGTCCTTCTGAGTGTCTTATCTTCTAAAATTCCAAGTAGCATTTTTGCACAGGTAATAATAATAATTGGGACTGGGGTTGTGGCTCAGCTGTCGAGCACTCGCCTCTCACATGCGAGATCCTGGGTTCGATCCTCAGCACCACATAAAAATAAATAAGTGAAATAAAGATATTGTGTCCAATTACAACTAAAAAATAAATATAAAAATTTAAAAAATAATAATAATTATAACATTTAAAAAATATTCAGCGTCCCTGGGACCCAAATAATACTAGCACTACTTATAAAAGTGAAAACTAGAGGGCTGTGGCTGTGGCTCAGTGGTAGAGTGCTCACCTAGGATGTGTGAGGCACTGGGTTTGATCCTCAGCACCACATAAAAATAAACAAACAAAATAAAGGTATTGTGTCCATCTACAACTAAAAAATATATATTAAAAAAGTGGAAACTGGAAAAAATTTTCTTGAAAATATAAACATTCCACACTTTGAGTAACTTTAGGCACTATGTTGAGGAACTTGAAATCCTTCAAACATTTATGCTATGAGATATCACTCAAGTGGTAGTTCTTAGGTGGAATAAAGCTAATCTTTTGAACTAGCCCTTCCTCATTCTTATACTTGTTTTTTTCTAGTATCATGTATCTAGGATGAAAATCAAATGAATCCAAATCCCACATTAATCACCAAACACACAGTGGAGTAAAGCAGACCATTACTGAAGATTTGGGGAAAGACAAGGAGGGAGGTTACCCTCATTGTAAACAGTATACTTCCTTGAGGATTCTTTAACAGATCTCTCAATTCCCCTGAATTATTTCTATGGCTTATAAAACTTGCTGGTGTGATTCTGCCTTTCTCTTTTTTTTTTTTAATTTTTTATTGTTGGCTATTCAAAACATTACATAGTTCTTGATATATCATATTTCACACTTTGATTCAAGTGGGTTATGAGCTCCCATTTTTACCCCATATACAGATTGCAGAATCACATCAGTTACACATCCATTGATTTACATATTGCCATACTAGTGTCTGTTGTGTTCTGCTGCCTTTCCTATCCTCTACTATCCCCCCCTCCCCTCCCCTCCCCTCCCCTCTTCTCTCTCTGCCCCCTCTACTGACATTCATTTGTCCCCCTTGTATTATTTTTCCCTTTCCCCTCACTTCCTCTTGTATGTACTTTTGTATAACTCTGAGGGTCTCCTTCCATTTCCATGCAATTTCCCTTCTCTCTCCCTTTCCCTCCCACCTCTCATCCCTGTTTAATGTTAATCTTCTTCTCATGCTCTTCGACCCTACTCTGTTCTTAGTTACTCTCCTTATATCAAAGAAGACATTTGGCATTTGTTTTTTAGGGATTGGCTAGCTTCACTTAGCATAATCTGCTCTAATGCCATCCATTTCCCTGTAAATTCTATG